TAGATAGATAGATAGATAGATAGATGCATATTATTGTTCCCTATTAGAGTTTGTAAATTGAGGTAGTTCAATCATTTTTTTTTAAATTAAAATAAAAAAGCAACATTCTAACAAGCAGCACTTATTATTTTATTAGCTTCTTACAGGAGCACCAAAACAGCGCAGAAGAACTATCCCAGCTACGACAGCTTTTTCTGGTACACATAATAACAGACTAATTTACTCATTGTTTCAAGGCATAATGGAATACTGTTTATTAGAATAATGCAATATCATTTACATTGTAGAAGGCTCAAAAAAGGTTTAATTTTTATATTATATATGAAGTTTAAGTACTGTTTTATTTAATTAAATTATATTTAGCCCATAGTCTCTTTAAAACATGTTATTTAGATTTGAATGGAATATAAATTTTACAAATACTTTGTAAATTATGTTGTAATGATATGGCTGTTTGCTTTGTTTATTGTGAACGATCAAAACAAAGACAATTTTGTTATAAAATTGTGTATTCATAAATAATTTCAAATGTATTATTGTTCAGTCTTAACAGTATCAGACCATTACTTTATTTGTTTCTTTAGTCTTGTTGTTCTAGTTTGTGACTAATAATTTAAAAAAATAGAATAAACAAAAGCTAATTCTAAAAAAAAAAGTTACCAAACGTAGAACGCGTGCCCAAGCTGAAGTCCAAACTTCAAGACCCATAGTGCATTGCGTGGCTGTCGCTGGCGTGTGACGTCACACTCAGGAAGGTTCAGGAAGGTGTTTGCTGTGTCGCGTCAGTGGTGAAGAAGCATCGCAAAGCTGAAATTAGATAACAAACCAACGGGTGAGTTTTACTTCTAAGTATAATATTTTACAATACGTGAAGTGTAAATGTTTACGGGATTATTCTGCGTGCGAGTCGCTGGACTCATTTTTAGGCAAATGAAACATTCGTAGTACTGAACATCCTCTGCTTGTTCAGGAGTTTGTAAGTTAGTTGAGTAAAATCTTCCTCTTCTCTTGTTTACGAGCTGTGTTCACTCCGCTTCACGCGATGCTGCACTGTTCATGAGGAATGTTTCTACACAGAACCGGTCAGTGATGTGGGTCTCACGCCTGTCGTGTCTGCGGAGCGTCCCTGTGCTGGGGCTCCGCTCGGCCCTGAGTCCGGCTCCTGGGGGCCTGATGAAGTCCAGTCCAGCCCTGATCAGACCGCAGCAGGTACCTTCAGAAGAGCCACGCTGCACCTGCTGGATTGCTTTGCGTGTGAACTAGCAGTCGAGCGCCAGTACTGTGTGTTTTGTTTATGTTTTGTGTTGTATTTTATGTTGTTTTCAATCAGGGTTATTCCACCAGGACTAGACTGGGATTCCGCCGGAGCAAGACTTCCAAAGAGCAAGTTCAGGAAGCAGCGTTTGAACCTGCTACAGACACGGCAATTAAAAGTGATTTCTGTTAACATGTCCTTTTATAAAGAGTTTTCTCCACGTTTATTTATTTCTGTAAAATTCTTATGTTTTTGGCACTGTTTCGGTGATGCGATCACTCCGCTGTGACACGTGTCTGAGCGACAGTCATTAGGCTTGTTTGAGATGCTAAAATACTCCGGCTACAGCATTTACCAACAAAATAAAATCATGATAGGAAATGACTGCCAGACACTTTGTTCTTGTCAAAAATGTTGGTCCATCCATCCATTTTCCAAACCTCTTGTCCAGGAAACTCTGGACGGATCAGGACAAACACACACGTTCACACTCGCACCTGCTCTGTGTCTTTGGATTGTGGAGGGAAAATATTAGTCTTAACTTCTAACTTCGTTGAAAGTAATTAGTCCTAAATGTTTTAGACCCTGTTCTCAGCTGTATCTGGTGCTTGTGATCGGATCACCTGAGATGGATGTCAATGCCAGGTCTGAACGTTATGTAACAAATGCATTTTTGAGTCTCTAATGTTTCAAACTCAAAATAAGTAAAAGATATTGATATGTATGGCCTCTTTTAAAAGACATCCCAGGCGACTCCCCATGAGACCGATGACGTGTGTGATTCTGTCCTCTGCAGTCGACAGCATGGGCCGGATCGTCCTCGCTGGAGGCGCCGCTGTTGGACTCGGAGCTTTGTGTTATTACGGATTAGGCATGTCCAACGAGATGGGAGCCATCGAGAAAGCAGTGTAAGAATCACCTTCACATCAAACACTGTAAATGAAATAAAGGTTCTCATGATCTGATGATGCCAGCAGCACAGAAGAAATCAGATTCACCTGTGATCCGATTGTTAAGAATGAACTAGTCGTTGATTCAGCGGCTCTTGTCTGATTTGCAGACGGCATTCGACTTTTGTTTTGTAATCTCAGTGATAACCGGTTTAATCAGATCAGTCTGATCGACTACAAAGCAGTCAATTTCTATCTCTTCCGAAGTTTCTGTTGAGTTAACATCCCAGAGTTCAGGTCAAGGGACTAGAGGAAGGCCGACACGTTTCACTTCTCGCTTTACCGTTTGAGATTTATGATGTGGAGATGAAAAAGAACAGCTTCATGGTACGGTAATGTGAATCATGGGATCTGTTACGATCAGCTCAACTGTGAGCTGCATTGAAAGCGACTGACAGTCAACATATACACGCTTATATTGCAGGTATTCAGTCATCTGAAGTCATGTCAGGAACACTTTGTGCTTGATGCAGACTGAAGCTGTGTTTGCAGGATCTGGCCGCAGTATGTGAAGGACAGGATCCACTCCACATACATGTATTTCGCGGGCAGCGTGGGTCTGACGGCGCTCTCGGCCGTCGCGGTCAGCAGGACACCGGCGCTCATGGGACTCGTGATGAGGGGCTCCTGGCTGGTACGCTAGAGATCATACTGCTTTTTATTCATCGCCCTTTAAATACACTCTTCATAACAACAAATCTTAGTGGTAGAACATACTGTAAGGCAGCTACTAATTATATACTGTATTATAGCATCCTATGGCACAGTAATGATTCAGCTTGTAGTTTAATATTTACATTGATGTTTAATGCTGTTACAACCTTATGAACGATCCGCAGGCTATTGGCGCCACGTTCGCTGCTATGATCGGCGCCGGGATGCTGGTGAGGTCGATCTCGTACGAACACAGTCCGATGCCGAAACACCTGGCCTGGGCTCTACACGCAGGTAAAGTGCTTTCACTGCTTTAACTGACCTCCAGAGGGCACTGCAGTCTGCGTTTGTGCTCCTGCTGGGTATGTTTTCCTTTGGTTGAGCACTGCAGAAAATTTCAAAAGACAAATACATGCTCACATGAAAGTTATCACTCCTGTGTGGACAAACAAGCAGAACTCTTGTGTTCCCTGTGTGCAGGTGTGATGGGAGCCGTCATCGCTCCGTTAACTCTGCTGGGTGGCCCGCTGATGGTTCGAGCAGCCTGGTACACCGCAGGAATCATGGCCGGTCTGTCGACGGTGGCCATGTGTGCGCCGAGCGAGAAGTTCCTGAGCTTGGGCGGCCCGCTGGCCGTGGGCTTCGGCGTGGTGTTCGCCTCGTCTCTGGGTGAGATGCATTTACAGTCCGCCGCAGACTGTGTGGCTGTTTAACCTTACAGACTTCACAGGAGTTTCTTCTGTTCTCTCCTCTCTGCAGGCTCCATGTTTCTGCCCCCCACCTCTGCATTCGGGGCCGGCCTGTACTCGGTGGCGGTTTATGGAGGTCTGGTCCTGTTCAGCATGTTTCTGCTGTATGACACACAGAAAGTCATCAAGCGTGCCGAGACGCACCCTCTTTACGGCGTTCAGAAATATGACCCCATTAATGCGTAAGTGTTTTCTGTGGGCAAGCTAAGAGTCAGACTTGTGCATTTGTAATATGTGTTTCGTTTCATTCAATCGTTCTATCGTTTAAACGACACGCAGTATGACTTTACTGTAAGGCAGCTACTAATTATATACTGTATTATAGCATCCTATGGCACAGTAATGATTCAGCTTGTAGTTTAATATTTACATTGATGTTTAATGCTGTTACAACCTTATGAACGATCCGCAGGCTATTGGCGCCACGTTCGCTGCTATGATCGGCGCCGGGATGCTGGTGAGGTCGATCTCGTACGAACACAGTCCGATGCCGAAACACCTGGCCTGGGCTCTACACGCAGGTAAAGTGCTTTCACTGCTTTAACTGACCTCCAGAGGGCACTGCAGTCTGCGTTTGTGCTCCTGCTGGGTATGTTTTCCTTTGGTTGAGCACTGCAGAAAATTTCAAAAGACAAATACATGCTCACATGAAAGTTATCACTCCTGTGTGGACAAACAAGCAGAACTCTTGTGTTCCCTGTGTGCAGGTGTGATGGGAGCCGTCATCGCTCCGTTAACTCTGCTGGGTGGCCCGCTGATGGTTCGAGCAGCCTGGTACACCGCAGGAATAGTGGCCGGTCTGTCGACGGTGGCCATGTGTGCGCCGAGCGAGAAGTTCCTGAGCTTGGGCGGCCCGCTGGCCGTGGGCTTCGGCGTGGTGTTCGCCTCGTCTCTGGGTGAGATGCATTTACAGTCCGCCGCAGACTGTGTGGCTGTTTAACCTTACAGACTTCACAGGAGTTTCTTCTGTTCTCTCCTCTCTGCAGGCTCCATGTTTCTGCCCCCCACCTCTGCATTCGGGGCCGGCCTGTACTCGGTGGCGGTTTATGGAGGTCTGGTCCTGTTCAGCATGTTTCTGCTGTATGACACACAGAAAGTCATCAAGCGTGCCGAGACGCACCCTCTTTACGGCGTTCAGAAATATGACCCCATTAATGCGTAAGTGTTCTCTGTGAGCAAATGTTTGTATTACTTCACAAGACTTTATTTTAGATTTAAAGACACAATATGTAAGATTTTTAAATTAAAATATCCAAAAACCACTAGAACAGTGTTATATATTTTGCTGACTTGTGTACTTACATTATCCCAAATGTTTCGAAGAATGTTTAAATCCAGAGAAATAAGCAATTTTAACTAGTGACACGGAGCGTGTCTATAGTGTCATTGTGTCGACTGCTAATGACGTGATAACCCCTTGATTTCCGGTTTGTTTTGTAGAAAACATGGAAACACCAAAAACGCTTTAATATGTTGTGCGTTTTAATAAACCGGTGATGACCGCACAGAGTACCATTATAACAGAACTTTCAAATGTATCTAGCTTTCCAGCCGTGTGTCGCGCTCGTTCAGCGCCTCGTTTCGCTTCGACGGCTTTCAGCCTCACCCTGCTTCATTCTACTACGTTAATAAATCATTAGCTCATCCATGAACATGATTTCTGCCCGAGTCCCGTTGGATTGCATCGGCTGTGGAGATGAAAACTCCCATGATTCCACACTCAGTCACAGCGTCATCAAACTACACCTTTGTCTATTTGTTTGTTTTGAATACGCGCCCTCTAGCAGTGAAAATTACATACTGTGCCTTTAAGAGTCAGCTTTGTGCATTTGTAATGTGCGTTTTGTTTAATTAAATCGTTCTATCATTTAAACACACAATATGACTGCCGTCTGTTAACATCGCTGCTCCTGCTCTTCCAGATGTATGGGCATTTACATGGACACGCTCAACATCTTCATGCGACTGGTGATGATTCTAGCTAACGGCGGCGGAAACAGGAGGAAGTAGCCGTAAGGAGACAAGAACACATGACACTGGATTGGAGAAGAAAAATTAGCTAAATAAAGTGTCACTCATTTTGCATTTATTTGTTTAAAATCAGAACAAAAACTTTGGATTGCTTTCAGCTGAATTGCGTCTTAAACATGTCAAATTATAACAAACTAAAATTTTGTATATTTATTTTAGAAATGAGTTCTCAACAGACTGAGTTATTGCACAGAAAACGCTTGTGCCACTGTGATTCTCGTGTTCTTGCAGTTTGGGGCTCATGGTTCAATAAACTTTAGTTGTATCCAAATTATACTAGATCTTAATTGTACAGTTTATTGCTTTAGAACAGACATTAAGCACCATTTTTATGATATTTTAACAACATTACACAGGAATGTTTTTATCTTTGGCACTGTAAAAGCTGAAGAGACTGAACTTTAGAGCAGAAATGTGTTGAATCCTCTGCAAGACAGACTGAAATTCAGATGTGTTTTCAAAAATTCCTCTCGTTCTGTTATCTTGCCGTTTCATTGTTTTCTTTGAGCATTTAGTTGAACTCAGTGTCGTCTTTGATTAGAGTTTTCCTTTCACGTCCATGATGTTTGTGTTCTGCTGTTATGAGAGTATCTGGCCATCGACAGACATTCATGTTTTATTTGTGCTGTGACCAGCAGCAGATGACAGTGAGATTAGAGAATAATCCTCGTGTCTCCATCTGTATTCTGATGCTGATTAAATCCTGAGAGGAGGCTGTTGGCAGCAGATGGGAACATCAGCACTGCTGCAGGTGCGACTTACTTTAAAAACTCAAAAGGTTAGGAAATATTCTGTAGTGATTGCAGGTCTCTGACTGTCAGAGCACTTAAACCGCATTAATAAGAAGTGATTGTCAGTATCCCCAGGAGCAGATGACTGTCATCATGTGTGTGTTTGTGTGGTCATGTGATCATGTAGTCGCTCTGACGGCTGTAAAGCAGCAGAGGGAGCGTTAAACACCGTCCTCACACTCTCGGGAGAAACATACTGCATCCACTAAAGTCACAATCACCTTAAAGTCAGAGTGAATACGATTGGTTTTTCCCAGTAAAATAAACACTATGTAACAAATGTTACACTTAAACACATGAGGCAAGATGCAAACAAAGCAGCTGTATATGGATAAATTATGCACAAACCTTCATCAGATCCTGAAGTAACTCAATTTGAGAGGTTCTTCATTCTTCAACCCATAATTATGATCACTCTGAAAGTGAGTAAAATCATCATATTACATTTTAATACAGATAAACACATAAAACTCTAAATTCTGATTGGATAAACCATGAAGTCTGACGCATAATATAAATAATAAGACTAAGTTTTCATGTTGCTTGAGAACTGTGAACAGCCACAGCTAATTATAATACACGATGGAACAGTAATTTATTTATTCCTAATATTAATGTTATATTGAGAAGGATGTCTGTTTACTGTTTCTGCCGTTTAATAAAGCATTAATGTGCTTGAGACCATGAGTACAGCGATTTTACTCCAAAGCTTATCAGCACGCTTTACTGGCAATATCATCACAGTGATGTCTCAAGTGGCTTTGTGATTTAAATATGTTTTCAAATGTTATCTGTGTACATTAGTTGTTCTGCAGTAGAAGTAGGAACACAGACTGGCCCGTCTCGCACTGAAATGGATGGAAGATGTTTTCAGTGATGGCATATAAACTGATCAGCAGAAAAACACAATTCCTCAGTGAGCTGTTTACTGTCTGATTCGTCCTGAACTGCTTCTGTGAGTTGTTTGGTTGAGGAGCCTAAATCTGATCTGTTTATTTTAACATAGCCTTATATTTTTCAAACTGCATACCACTTTTTACGGCATCAAAAAGAAGCTCCATCATTCCAACACTTGTACTCAATGACTCGGAGAAGTCATCCATGCAGAAATCCAGACTATTCTACTGAACTCCAGTCAGAGGAAAGCCGTACAGGTCATCTCTTTTAATGTTGAATTACTCGTACATTTACTCAAATAAGAAGGAACTCAATTTCTGTTGTGTTTTCACTCCATAATGTGTGAAATGTGTGACGCAAAAACCAGATGTACATCGCATTCAGCCCTTAAAATAGATCAGTGACAGATGTGCTTTATCAGGAGCTGATGCAACTTTAGACTTTATAGGAAAAAGATGGATGTATTGAAGGTTCTGTCATTCCATTTCATTTAGTTCTGAAGTTACAGAACAAACTGTCTGAATCTACATCACCCTCGATTATATGTCCAGCTGAAAGCAGGAGTAATGCAGTCTGCTGCTGAAGGATAAACTTGCATCTTAAGCTTGAAAATAAAACATGGCACTGTGTTCAAAACTCCTAAATGAACACACTAACCTGACCCTTTCTCTCAAATTCAGCTGATTCCCTTCATTCCTGTCTGTGGTTGTATGTTTGTGTTCTGGCTCTGGTTTGAGTCATGAGCTGCAGAGGGTTGAGTCACAGGATTACTGAAGCTGCGCTCAGACGTGTTTAAAGACGTCTTCAGACGAGCAGCAGCTGCAGCGCTCTCCATATGATCCTTCAGTCTCTTTACACTTCTGTTGCAGGATGAAGAGTATGACTTTAGTTCTTCTCATCTCACTGTGCATGTCTCTGGGTGAGTGTTTTACTGCTCTGTAGTCTGTGTGTAATCAGCTTCAAACTGTGATTGTCTCAATAATCCTTTTAAGTATAATGGCGTGTGTTTGCAGGAGAGCAGAGCCGTGCTTCGGAAATGAGCTACTTTGTGCTTTAAAATACACTTTTAACTTAAATCATTAGAATTTGCAGTAAAACTATTGTTTTATTTTTGAAGCAGTTATTTACAAAAAAATTGTATTGTTATTTACTGAGACTGAATTTGAGTTGAATTGGTCCAGATGATTTCTATGTCATTGATTTCACTCAATGCTTTGTGTGACCGGAGTGTGTCAGACTAGCAATCACATCGCAGCCTACACTTTATTTTCCAGACCGTCTCAGTGTTTGTGTGTATGAACATCATCATGTTTAATACTCAAAATGTTTGATGTGTATTTCTCTGTCATTTTATGCTGCTAAGTATTTGTCTTTTTCAGGGCAATCTGACTTTGCACCGTATTTCTATGATAATGGAGCTGGAAGCAGCAACGGAAACCTGGGGTTATTCAGCATCTCTGAAGACACATCTGTTGGTTAGCATCCACTTCTATAATAACATGCTGTCAGATAAAAGAACATCGCACACTGTATATAAGCACAGACTGAATGTGTCATATTAAACTGATCACAGAACACACATATAATGATGCTGAATACATATGTGTTGTGTGCAGAAATGCATTTGATTTTTATGAAATCAAATATTAAGCTAATTGTAATGAACTATGAGTGACGGGGAATTGTTTGCGGTGACTTTAGGGTTTGATCCTCTCAGCAGTGACGAGCACAGTTTAATGCTGGGACGTGTTTACCTGTTTATGACCCTGCTTGTACTACATTTAACAAATATGACAATATTTGCTACTAAGATACTTTAAATAATGTCTTTAAGATAATAAACACACATAGTTCACCGGCGATCAGGTGTAATTTGTATTTCTTCCACAGGGACTCATGTTTACACACTGAGCGGCTCTGACCCCGAAGGCGAGCCGGTGACCTACGGCATGACCTTTGATAAGGGCTCCAAAGATTATTTCAGCGTCGAGCCCAAATCAGGGAACGTGACTCTCATCCAAACACTGGACAGAGAGGTGAGAGTAGATATTACAAGGGTTCAATCCTGACACAATATAAGGACATAATTCTGGAAAATACCAGTTGAAGTCAAATTTGTCTGTATTAATAATCACACTTGTTTCAATTGTTAAGGTTCAGGATGAGATTGTTGCATTTGTGACCATCACAGATGGGAGAAATAAGGTGAGAAAACACAATTGCATTAAACTCTGATTACAGGATTATTTCTTAAAGCTGAAGAGTGTGATTGTTTGTGGTGTGTTTAGAGTCACTGTGAGTCAGTCATTAGTGTGTTGTCTTCCTGAAGAGTGAAACGCTGTGTGTTCGACCTCATCACTGACAGCGATTTAAGAGTTTAACACGACCGTTTTCACGTTTTCACGACCCGTCAGACTCACAGACGACAATCCAACACTTTATAACAGTAAATCATCTTAATGTTATCTGATGTTTATTAAATAAAACTGACAAAAATATAGACCCCCACTTCAATGGTTTTTAAATATTGATTTGTTTTTAGGATGATTATTGTAGGATAAATACAGGTGCATCTCAATAAACTAGAATGTTATGGAAAAGTTCATTTATTTCAGTAATTCAACTCAAATTGTGAAACTCGTGTATTAAATAAATTCAATGCAAACAGACTGAAGTAGTTTAAGTCTTTGGTTCTTTTAATTGTGATGATTTTGGCTCACATTTAACAAAAACCCACCAATTCACTATCACACATAAAAAATTATACACTTTGCTTTTAAGAAATGGTAATACTAGCCTTTGACAGCTGATTTCATAAATGATAATTGTTCCTTAATTAATATTTAGTCCCATACTCTTCTGTTTGTGATGTGTATTGTGTTGAATGTGTTTTAATGTCCATTTATGGAGTATGTGCAGTTTGTCAGATCAGGTTTACTGTATCTCTTGCTTCTCCAGGTTGTAGAAAATGTTCGAGTGTTCATCACAGATGCTAACGATGAAAAGCCAGAGTTTCTGAATCTGCCGCTCGTAGTGGACGTCCCGGAGGTAAGAATGAGAAGCAGCTTGTAAATGAACAGATAAGTGTTTGTTGAAGTGCTGAAGCAGTTACGCTGTGTGTGGTGTGTGTTGAAGGACACAGCTTCAGGCAGCAGCATCTACAGAGTCCAGGCCGTCGACAGAGACCTCGGGTCCGGAGGAAGTGTGACCTACTCCCTGCAGGTCAGACAGAACCACTTCCTGTGGGGTCACGCTTCAATCATTTAGGAAACGCGTTTAAGATAATAATCACTGAGGATATTTGAATCTCTAATGCCAGCATTAAATCTGTAGAGTTTGTAGAGGAACTCTGCAGTCCTGCACACACATCGCTGGCCGTCGAACAGACCGTGACACCAAAGTACCATCAGAAAATGTGCTACTGCTGGATTAAATTTCAATTACATTTGGGCAGGTTGAGGGCTTAGCCTGGCTTACCTCGGCATTCGTTAGCCTCTGACAGCAGCCGCTCAGTTTCCCACAACAAAGACTGAGCCCTCGAGTGCAGCTTTCTCTGAGGAAAACATGACCAGTGAATGTCTAGAACAACATTTCTCATCATTTCTGATATAATTACTATACATGCCGTTTCAGAGCTCACACTGATTGTACTTGTACTAAAATCAATTGTCCAAACCACAGGACCATTTAAAATGGACTAGTGAAGGAAATGGTGACCAGTGATGCCATCTAAGATATGCACTTCCACATATATTTGATCTTAAAGTCTTGATGTCTTAAAGAAACAAGTATTTGTTAACTGTCTGTGTATTAGTACTCCGAGCAAAGTAACTGGTGAATATGGGACTCGTGTGATTACCAGATCAGCAGGTCTGACCAAATCATCTAGTTCACCCATCTGGTGTGTTCTGGGCTCTCGCTCACACCGACTGAGTCACGGAGCCACAATTTCAATAATCAGTACAATTCCATGGTTCTCGTTTGCAATTTTGGTAACATAGCAAAAACTATTGTAATTGTTTTATTTTAATATATTTTTTAATGATTTTAAGATCAAATAAAAATCAATAAAGTAAAGTAAAAGTAAGTAAGTAAAGTTTAACGTCAGTAAATAATGTTAAAATATGAATCTTTGACGCTCTTCACAGAGCACAAATAGGGAAACGTTGATAAAAAAGTATCAATTTAAGTATCAACACTAATCACCTACATCCCACACCATCTTAATTAAAACAGGCAAATTTACTACAAATACTATTCGCGTGTTGTCACATAAATGAGTTTTACACCATGAGTTCATGCACTAGCAATAAATAATCATCTCAATACCATAATTCTTAGTTCTAAAAAGTGCAGAAAGCGCATGTAAATTGCACTGAGAAACCACGCATACAGCATACTTCATCCAGCAAGCAGTCATGATCGTATTGTTTCAGATCTTAGCAGCTTCAGGGTGTGCATCTGCCATCTTTTGGAACAGATTGCTTCCCGAAGTGTTTGTCATCACGGCTTTGGGTTTGATCCTAGGTTTGAGAGATGCATTATTTGTTTCAGGAGACATTCCTTCATCAGTTATCATTTCGTTTGCAGTCGACGCCCAGCACTAAGTTCACCATCGACGGTCACAGTGGAGCTCTGCGCATCAGATCCGGAGAATCGCTGGACTACGAGGTCTCCAGGACTCATTTTGTCACTGTGGTTGCAAAGGTGAACAACAGACTCAACCGTGTGAAATCCCTCTGTCCTCTGAGATAGACCAGCTTGTTTGTGGTGATCTTTCGTAAAGGCATTTATCTTGTAACAGTGAAGTCCACATGAAGTCCATGAAGTGATTTCTCAGTAAGTACCAGATGCTCAGAGCTGTGTGTCTGTTTCAGGATGGCGGGGGTAAATATCATGGAAAATACCAGGTCATGACCTCCACAGCCATCATAACCATCAATGTCCTCGATACTCAGGATTCTCCTCCAGTGTTTGTTGCTACTCCGTATTTTGGATTTGTGTATGAAGTCTCTGTACCAGTAAGTGTGACATGATTTCATATCTAAAATCCTGAAAAAATAGAACTAAACACTCCAGCTCAAGTAATACCTTCATTGTGCTTGTGTTCAATTATTTTATCAAGAAATCTACAGAGATTTTCATTTAGAGGAGTCACATTAAAAAAAAAAAATTCTACTCATTGTAACTGGTTAGTGATAAATGAGTGCTAGACTCCAATGTATTTGACTGTATTGACTGGCTGAGGATGTCCAGTAACTGAGCTTTTATGGCGATGCTCTGTCTGTTTGTGTGTTTTGTGTGCAGGGCTCAGAGATATTCACTGTTTCTGCCAAAGACGGCGACCAGAACAACCCCAACACCATGCATTACTCCATTCTGAGCGGTCAGCTGCGTTATCACCTCACTGCTCATTTAACTTCTGAACTCCATTCATCATGTCATAAATACTTCCATCATTAATATCTCCTGTCTCCTCTTCTGTTCACTAAAGGCAGCGACGGCTTCTTCAGCATCAACAGCACCAGCGGCTGTATCAGCTTGACATCTTTCCCTGTACAGCTGAGGAACGAGTTATACGAGTTACAAGTCAAGGTTGTCTATATTTATGAGATGAATATCACTAAAGCTTGAGTAAGTGTTTCTAATTAGCATCACACATGGCCTAATAAAACTTATTTTATTGTAAATCAAGGCTGCAGAGGTTGGAGCCGACAGGTTTTCTGACTACAGTGTGACCACAGTCACTGTTCGTGTGGTGGACCTCAACAACCATCCGCCCACTTTCTACGACGAGAACGGCCCGCAGAACCGCTTCGAGCTGAGCATGTACGAGCATCCGCCGGAAGGAGAGATACTCCGCGGCCTGAAGATCACGGTCAACGACTCGGACCAGGTGCACATTAAACTGCTGTTTGGTTGAATACACCTGGGGTTAGCTACCAGAGCCAATAGTGAGATGAAATGAATGACATTAATCTACATTTTGCTATTAAGTTCAAAGCTATACTAAAAGTGAGAGAATTAAACTGCAAGTCAACAGAAGAACAAGGCAGCAGTGCTGTATTTCATGTGAATCGCACACCTCTAGTCCATTTCGTTCAGTTGTAATGAGTGATTGAGCGGCTCACAGACTGATGCTTTCGTCCACATTTCATCACAAACCACAAAGACGGTGATGCACAAACTGAGGGATTCACACACATTATGGCACAGTGATTAAGAATAAGGTTGTTGACATCTGCCATACAAATGATTTACTGTTTTCTATGCATTAAATAAACACTTTTATTAGAAATAGCACTTTGTTACATTTTGAGGAGCTTTTTCTGTGAATGTTTTAATATTTTTTCCCCATTAATGTTCCATATTCTCTGAATCTCCTGTTCTCATTCAGGGAGCAAATGCTAAGTTCAGGCTGCTGTTGGTGGGACCTTCTCGAGTTCTCCGTGTGGTTCCTCAGACGGTTCTCAATGAAGCCCAGGTCACCATCATCGTGGAAAACTCGTCCGCCATCGACTACGAAAAATACCAGTTCTTAACATTCAAGGTCTGATCCTGATCTTTTATTTTGATCACACTGACAGTAGGTTATCTTTTAGCTGAATGTTTTATCCTGAGCAGTGTGTGTGCTGTTTTTCAGCTGTTAGCGGTGGAGATCGACACTCCCGAGCGCTTCAGTGCCACTGCGGAGATCGTCATCAATCTTTTGGACACAAACGACAACATTCCCAAGTTCTCCTCTGAGTTTTACATCGCCAGGATCCCTGAGAATTCCCCAGGAGGCTCCAACCTCGTCTCAGTGACCGTGAGCAGCTTGACATTGTTTAACAGTAAAGAATGAGCTTTCTCTTGCAGCTCCGGGTCTAATGTTGGACGTCTGGAGCGTTTGTGTGTGTGTTCTGTGTCTGTGTTTGAGCACTGAGGTGTATCTGGTGTTTTTCCAGGCGACAGACCCGGATTCAGGGCTTTGGGGAGAAGTGAAATATTCCATCTACGGCTCTGGCGCTGATCTGTGAGTACAGACCTCAGTATTGAACATTGCTGGCTTTGAATCAGTGATTCTTCTCTTATGCAACGCCATATTCAGAGGTCCAATAACGGAGATAAAATTTTGTTCAGTCATCTGTTTAGATTAAGTTTTAAATAATAATGGACATCACTGCAAATAACAGCTTGATATTTTTGCAAGTAAAAGCTATCTTAATGGGCAATTCAGCTCAAACAGGAGGGGACCGAACTCAAAGTCTGTGATTTTAACTGGATGGTGTGTGACATTCTCACATTAGTTCTGTCAGTCATGTGCTTGAGTTTAGGGTTAGAGGTCAAGTTCAGGAAAAGTGGCACAGATGACCTCACGCTCGTCCGTATCTGGACGCTACGCTTGTTTTTATAAGGACTAAAGGACTAAAGGACAAGCACAAAACAGCTTACAGACAGACACCAGCGAGGGAGCTGGCTAATCTTGTAATGGGATTGGAGAAGTAAAAATAGCATCTCCACACCCGCGAGTGAGTCAGGGCCCAATTAACGAGCGATCTGACAGCTGGAGGTAGAACACATGCGGGTAATGCAAAACCTGTAAATTTATGCCTTGACTCTTCCCCAATGCAGGAGGCAAATTATAATGGTGTGAAAAATAGCGGCTTTCTGGCTGACTGTTAATTTTCACATGCAGAGAGTCACACTGACAAGAATAAAGCAGCCGATTAAAATCCAGACTTGATGACAATCTCTTATAATCAGGCACACAACCACGTGTTTATTTTGATCTTAAAACAGCCATTGAACAGAGTGACTGTAAACCATCATTAGCATCCAGTGCAGGATTTGTTCATCTCAACATTTGGACACGTCTCAGACTAGAAGCACGAGTTCAGCAGCATCTGTGATGTTAACTACATCATTGTTCTGAATAAAATCTTTTGGCTGTTTCAGGTTTCTCATTCACGCCACGTCCGGCATCATTTACACGCAGCCCTGGGCCTCTTTAGACGCTGAAGTGAAGTCAAAATATAATTTCTATGTAAAAGCTGAAGACACTGAGGGCAAATACAGCCTCGCAGAGGTTTTTGTCACGGTGCTGGATCAAAATGACCACCCACCTGAGTTCAACCAGAACTACCTGGAGAAGACCATGATCATCGGGGCGCCAGTGAAAATAGAGGTTTGTGTTCTCCAACAAAACTCTTATTTTGTGGACCGCCATCTGTCTTATGTCCCAGTAGATTAGACCAATAATCAAAAGCCAAATCTCGCATTGAGCCTGATGGCATGAACTCCATGATCCCACAACCAGCTTAAAGTTCTGCATCTGTGAGCAATCTGACTGAACAATATTCTCACTGATGGTGCGATTGTGAATATTATGATCTTTCTGGTTTGTTTTCAGGCAGTGGATGAGGACGCAGAGGAACCTAATAACCTGATTGAATATTCCATCATGAAAGCCGATCCAGACAACATCTTCGACATTAACACGTCCACAGGAGAGATTAAGCTCAAACCGTACATCAAGTCTATGGAGATTGTGCAGAACATCACCAAACAGAAAGACGGCCGGTGGTCTGTGGTGGTTCAAGCTCGTGATCGAGGCTCTCCATCCTTCAGCACAACGGCGGTCGTGAAGATCGACATCACGGAGGCGGTGAGACGTTTATACGTCAGGGTCACTGTGTGCGCTGCGGGATCAAAGCAGCTGTAATGAGCATTGTTTTGTTTGTGTAGAATACCATATTACTACCATGGTAAATGTAATAAAACAAATAAAATAAAAGTACTTTAATCTCAGGTATAAGAATATGGAGCTTATCAAAGTAACATAGTATTTCATAGTACATCCACAGTACCTTTTCATCCATGTACTCATGATTTAATAGTATATCTCACTTTAATATATATGAAGAACCATTAAGTTGTGGGGAAGTTGTGGCCTAATGGTTAGAGAGTCGGACTCGTACCCCAAAGGTTGCGAGTTCGAGTCTCAGGTCCGGCAGGAATTGTAGGTGGGGGGAGTGAATGTACAGCACTCTCTTCCACCTTCAATACCACGACTGAGGTGCCCTTGAGCAAGGTACCGAACCCCCAACTGCTCCCCGGGCGCCGCAGCATAAATGGCTGCCCACTGCTCCGGGTGTGTGTTCACGGTGTGTGTGTGTTCACTGCTGTGTGTGTGCACTTAGGATGGGTTAAATGCAGAGCACTAATTCCAAGTATGGGTCACCATACTTGGCCACATGTCACATCACTTTTCACTTTATCTATCTATCTATCTATCTATCTATCCATCCTATTTTAGCGCACATTTTTGTTCAGTTATCCCCATATTCAATAAGTATTCATAGACAGAAATAATTGGGGTGAGTATTTCCTCTAAACTGAATGAGAGAGCATGTGGAGTTGAGAATGCCAAATATATTTGAATGAAGGATTAGTCATGCATTAATAAGAGGGAAATATTGATTTTTGTTCTCAGTTTACCCTTTCCTCAGAGCATATGCAGATACAGACCCACACAGGCTGTGTAATGGGTAAGAATCTGTGCTGCTATCACATATGTCGTGAGCAGGATCCCAGACTGGGGCAACCCTCAGCTGTAGCTTTGCTTCTGTTATGTCTCTGTTGTCCCTGTGAGAAAGACGCCTCACCCCAGGTCTGCTCCAGCGGGACTGTCTCTGCAATTAGCTCACTGGGAGATGCTCTGAATAAAAAGCCACTGCCAAATAACAATTAATTTACAGACTCTGCCTCGTTTTAACTGATAATCATAGTGTCTTTAACATGTTTGTAAAATGTGAAAGGAGTGAAGTTATTTCCTTATGAAATTAACTCTTCATGAAACCAATACTCAGGAACTCACACAAAACAGACGCCATGCAATAAAACAATAAAACTTATCTGGAGAAGAAATCTTCAAAGAGAGCAAACAACACCTCTCTCCTCGCCCATTTACGACCCCCTTCTCCCCCTGTCCGCTCTGCCTCTCACTCTTTTCCCCCAAAAGGTTTCACCCAAAGTTCATTAAGAATATGCATATCCCACATATCATGTATCTTGTGAACCTGTTGTTTTTCCCCTTCATGTTTAGTGTCATTTTAAAGGTCTTTGTGCGATTGGTAAATTGGTTTCAATTTCACAGTAGTCATTTATATTATGAGAAAGATTCAAAACCTTTGTAGAATTATGTTCTGCTGAGGAGGGGGTGTGTCCCCCTTTAGGCCTGTGGGAATGTTTATCTATCTCCAGTCAGGTGCAACCCTGGAGCACGGGAACCTAAAAGACCAAAAGGTCTTTTATGTTTTTACAACTGATTTAAAGATTTCTTTGTTCACCTTCAATACCACGAATGAGGTGCTCTTGAGCAAGGCACCGAACCCCCAACTGCTCCCCGGGTGCCGCAGCATAAATGGCTGCCCACCGCTCCGGGTGTGTGTTCACTGCTGTGTGTGTGCACTTTGGATGGATTAAATGCAGAGCACTAATTCCAAGTATGGGTCACCATACTTGGCCACATGTCACGTCACTTTTCACTTTAAAGTTCATTATGATATAATATGATATAATTATTTACAACAATTTGTGTGTGTGTGTGTGTGTGTGTGTGTGTGTGTGTGTTTTTCAGAATGGGCTCAAAGGGCCCATGGCTGCTTTTCTAATGCAGAGCCGAGACAATCCAATGAAAGCTCTTGGCCTGGCCGTCAGCATCATTACTGTAATTGTTTTGGTGACAGTTATGATCTCCACCATCATGTACTTTCGCAACACAAAGTCCAACAGGATCACGCCAGCGCGCCGCATCATTCGCAGGAGGCCCAAAGAGCCGCGCCGCTGGATCTTCAGGCCGTGGTTTGGACGGAGCGACCTGAGCTTTGGAAAGTTCTTCACTGATGATGAGACGAGGGACAACACAAACCACAGCAGCCCCAGAGCCAAGCCGCCGGCCCCCAGCGCTCCGGTGCTCCCTCCTCCGCCTCCGAGCGAGCGGCTGCGGTCAGTGCCCACGGTGTCCGGCTCCCTGGCCTCCAGAAACACCAGCCGCAGCTCCAGCTGGAGGACCAGCAAAAGCACAGACGGCGCCCAGAGATCTGCCCAAAACAAAGACGGCAGTGGCATCAGCTCCGCTCTAGTGTCTGAGCTTAAAATGAGAATAGAACAGAAAATCAATGAGGCAAATCAAGGCTACTATTACTGACACACTGACCGGTGTGAGTAACGGATACGATGTGTGTTTGATGGACCGCTGGACGCTTGATGTTACGAACAGCTCGCTGAGAAGAATGTTTCTTTTTTTTGGTGAAAGTGTTTTTAAAGTGACCGTCTAGTTCACCTAAAGTGTTTTTCTGTTGTTCAACATGCCGTACAGTCAAAAATACCTTAAAAATGCTAAGTAACTTGCCAATACTGGTCTATGCACATACAGTATGTGTTTGTAAACAGAAGACAGCTAATTGGATGCTGTTTATTTCAGTAATGTACACCTCTTCAGTCTTGCTGTGCTTCTTAGACCAGTTTACGCATCAGTTCTAGATCTGCAAAAGTCATGCAAACTCCACTGTAATCTCATAATTAGCACCATACTGCCATCTTTAGGTTTCATTCAATTTAGTCTGAACAATCTAATCATTAATACGTGTCAAAATTTAGAAGAACTTAAAACAACCCTTTCTGTTTTCAGTAGATTATTTATGTGACTATTGCATGTACTTTATGTCCTACTCTATTTCTTTTTTAAGCAGTTTTTGCCTTGAGGATCTTTGGTAAAAATCTACAGACTTTATGGACATCGGACTCTCATATGTAGTTATTGCTGTCAAACCTTTTTTATTATTGTTTTGTATTGTTTTGTATTTAATTTTCTGAGAAGGAGAGCAGATGAACATCCATGTGCTATTTGCTGTAGGCATATCCAAATGTCAAATGTGTTTATCATGTCATCATATCAAGTCTGTGCTATAAATGAATTTAGAAATACAACAATTTTTAAAGTCTTATCTAAAAAAAATTAAAAGAGACTGGTGTCATTGTCCTAGTATTCAATTTTTATTGTTACATGAACTCATTGACATTTTTATTGAAGGCAACTTGAGGTAAAACAAGCAATTTATAACAGTAAAGCAAGAATATTTGCAGCAATACTGAAGTTCAAGAGTAAAATCAGAGCTTCCTACTGAACATTTTTTTCATTGTTAAATAATATAAATTGTAATTGTGTTTGGGGGGAAAAAAAAACACCCAACCAAAGAACGTTCAGATTCCTAAAACTAGTATATCTTGAGAAATATTTTGTCATTAATATTTCACATCTCGTTTAGACTTCAGAGATTGTAAAACTGTAAAGGTGTAAAAAAAAAAAAAAGAAAAAAAAAAAGATCCTCTTTACATTAACCTAACCTTTAATGTTTGACATTTCACAAACATTTAAAACAATGCACATAAAAGAAAACACTCCCACTGAAAATGGAAGAAAACTGAAGTGCAATCATTGTTTGCTTCTATTCAGTCCACAAAGCATCACCATCTGTGGTCTCTCTGACCTGTGTATTAATATGTGGTCTAGTATAGCTGGGCAGTGCTGTTTCTTTATGTGCTTTATCCTCTGATCTCCTCATCATCTTCACCTCACCACACAGCCCTTCATCACCGGCTGCCTGCAGACTGTCACACGTCTCCTGTCTCTCACGTCGCTTCTGTCTGATGTACAGCCGTGTGCAGCGCTCAAAGCAGTGCGTTCTGGTGTTGCTCGTGCAAACACACCAGCACCATGGCACACACAATAACATAAACCATGAACCAGGTCTCTGCACGTTTCTCTGTCAGCACAAACCACTCGATTGTGATGCCATGGTCTGCTTGGATATGCATATATCAATATACAGGTTTTCCTCTACTGATGCCAGCGGTAAGGCGGGTGAGAGCGGGAAAGTGGAGTTTTGGGAGAGAAGGACCTCAAGCTGGACGCTGACAGACGAGTTACCGATGAAATTGTTGGCAGAGCAGGTGTAAAGGCCTCGATCAGGCATGCGAAGAGCTGGAACAATCAGCACAGAGATGGTGTCGTCATTCACTGAAGTCTGAGAAACTGCAGAAAATTTAAAAAGAAGGTGATTAGATTAAACAAGATGACGTACTAGTAACATGAGTAGTTTCAAAAAGCTACTAATAGAAATGGGTATCAAATGAATGAGCATTGGGTGAAGTGTTTACCTGTAAAGCTCTGATGTGTTCGAGACTGTAGCTCCGCTTCAGGTCTGGATTTCATCAAGCACCTCAGTGACATCTGACCCTACGGGGAGGTGAGGTTAGTTTGAGGACTGGACGTTTCTGCCTTTATGTACATCTTCAGCTCCACCTCATGAAAGAACTTTCCTGCTCTGGTTTCAGGCCCTGAACATTTCATACATGAGTTCATCAGGATTATCAGTGGGCTGATTGTGTTGATGAATTCAACAAAGCCCTTGTGTCTGCAGTCACAAAGCCAACGATTTTCATTTCAACGACATTAGCCCGTTCCCGTTTGAGGCCAGGTTTCTGTGACGGCATGCCGTGCCAGTTGAGAAAGACGTCTCTGGATATAGCAGTGAGATGATTGAAGGATAAATCAAAGTAGGTTAGTTGGCAGGTGGTGCACAGCATACTCTGGAAGTGCATCTATTCGGTTGTGTTTCAGGTCCAAAATTTCAAGGTTCGGCGTGTCCCGAAAAGCAGTCCATGGTATCGAACGTAATTTGTTGCCCTGTATGCGTAATTCTGTCACGTTGTGCAGTCCCTCCAGACTCCTAACATTCATCAGTGTTATATTGATCAAATGTAGCCATAGGAACGCCAAGGCACTGGCTGCAGAGAATGGCGCTTGTGGGATTTCAGTTACATGTGATCTTTCAACACTGATTTTTATGAAATTCTCAGGAATGTTTTGCGGGATCCTTCCTAAGGGAAGCTCCGTACATACCCAAGACCTGTATGTTAGCAGGAAAAAAGAACCAACTTGGTCTGTGTTCACAGGAAAACATCAATACACACTTATTAAAAGCTGAATCGATCTAGAGGCCGAATCACTGGGTTATTAATAGAGTGATTCTACCAGCCTAAACGCTTTGACAAAACACTTAATTTTTTTACAGATGCTGCTCAGCACTAAACAATGAGTGTGATCAAATTTAAAGGCTTATTTGCTTTTGTACAGCTCTTGTACAGTAATGAATAACTGAAAACAGTTAGAAAAACAAGATAAAACAAGTGTGAAGAAATGTGAATTCTCTCTATTATGTAAATATCTTCAGTACAGAACTAAGTTTGGGATCTCAGACATAAAATGTCAAATAAGAAAATAAATGGCCATGCAGCTCCAGGCCACGTTTACAGGAGACACGAGCCGCTCCGCATGACTGACGGCAGTTCACTGGTTCATTGGGTAAATCCTATTATCCTTAATGCTCAAACTTCATCGGAAGTTTCTAAATACTGCTTTGAGCATTCAGACAAACTAGGAATAGCACAGCTAATGTGTTTTCAGATGCATCACTTTATAAACAAAGAGCAACCATTCAGAAAACAAGAACCATATAAAAAATTATTTTATTCAATCATATTTTTAAACATATATTTAGTAAGTACAGACATCAACATATTCCTGATATTGCAATTATAAGCACATTTTTAAGGTTAAAATGGAGAACAGAACAGTTGCCCCAGTACACTGTGACAAGATAACAGTATAAAGAAAAACAAGTAAAAAGGAAAAATTAAGCATGTACATCACTAACCCTCTTTTTTTGTAACATCCTGACGGTCCAAAGAGAAAATCTTAACATTTCACTTTCTGTATTAGACAGATGGGTATTATGTGTTGGACACAGACATTTCATTGCAGAATATGCATGATGAATGAATCAATTATAAACATATCATTGGAAAAGTGCATGACAAAAATAAAAAATACAGACATTATTTCAGTCTTGTGTGAGAATTTTCCCTTTTTGAACACTGAACTTTCTTTAAGGTGGTTTGTACCCTTTTAGGGCTGAGAAAGGACCAAGCTGATATGCATTTAAGCTTTCAAATACATTTAATAAAGAAAAAGAGTGGTCTCAAACAGGGCGAGCCTGCCGCCGGTCGGTCAGCAGAAGTACTCGTTGGGCTGGCCCTCGGTTCTGGCCGTGGCCTCAGAGTCCACACTAGAGCGGGCCGACAGCAGCCGGTTGGACTCGTCTGGGTTGAGTCTGCGGAGATATTCCCCCTCCAGACTTTTGGCTTTGGTGCCTGGAGACAGAGTCTCAAACGTCACGTACGAGTCTTGAATGTCTTTGGACTTCCGGCCCATCAGCTTCTGCAGCCTCCTCTTTAGTGCCCCGCAGCAGACGATGAGCGTCAGAGGAACCGCGATCACGCAGGCGACCGTGATCACCACCACGTTAATGAGCTTCTGTGTGCCGCTGGCGCTGGCCGCCTCGTCCGTGGAGAAAATCACACACTGCTCTTTCTTGGGGACGAGGCCCTTCACGCACACACAGGCTATGTACTTGGTTTTGGGCACGAGGCCTTCGATCGTGATGCGATTCTTGCCCGGGGCAACATTAATCCGACGCATGTCCCGCTCCCCGAAGACGGCGTACAGAACGCTGAAGGACGTGGTGTTGGTGGCGGTGGGTGCGCGCCAGTTCAGCGAGACCGTGTGGTCCGTGTCACCGATCACTTTGACCGACCGAACCACTCTGCGCTCCGGACCCTGCTGCAGAGAAGACGCATTAGCCTCCAGGTTACTCAAGACATCTTTCTGAAGCTCCGCCATGCCGCTGTCCGTTCCTGCGGCCGCTGCAGGTGCCGCTGTGGCCTTCGCTTTGGTAACACCGTCAGAAATGCTGTAGCGTTCGATCTGGATAGACGCCGTGACTTTGGGTCCGTTTAGGGGCTCAATGATGGGCACAGCAGCTGATGTGGCCGGCGGCACGTATCTGGCGATGAGTTTCTCTTGATACGCCGCTCGGACGAATCCAGCGTTCTTCTTTCCGTGACTTCTCTTGGCGACCGCTTCGTCGATTTGCCACGTATCAGAAATGACAAGTGAGATAATGGCATCGGCACTCCCGACAAAGTTAGTGGCTCTGCAAACGTATTTCCCTGAATCTCTGTACGAAACGGCAGGAACGCTGACAATGTACCAGATGATGCCCTCTTTAGAGATTTCCTGTTGAACTACAGGATCAAACAAAAAACACTCACTTTAATATAAGTTCTGAAGTTGCATTTGGCATCTAACTGTGCAGTACAGTTAAACATAACAGTAATTACAGCAAATTTCGCCTGCATGCTTGTATATTTGCTGCTCTGTTAATACACAAGCAACAATCGTTTTTTTAACAAAAGCAGTAAACCATCGGAGACATGAGATGAGATCAGATGAAAATGTCCCGGTACGTACCGGTGCCGTTCATGGGCTTGCCATCGGCTCGGGTCCAGGACAGCTCGGGGATGGGAACGCCGATGGTCCCGCAGCGCAGCAGGACGTTGTTTCCGATAGAGCTGCGGACCCTCGCGACGGCCGTGTGCACGCGGGGAACCTGACACTTGCGGAGCTCAGCATCAGAGAACAGGACTCCCGACAGGCTCTCCGGTTCGGCACAGCGCAGACACGTATCGATGAACGCTACAGAGGAGGAAGGGAACTTCTGGAACTGCACCAAATCAAAGAGACGACAGTCACACTGCCAGGGATTGTCGTGGAGACCTGTGCAAAGAACAGACGCTTTCGTCAATGTTTCTTCATTTGTCAATGACTAAGACTTTACAACAGAACTGAAATGGTTTAAAAGCAGAAACGAACTCACCTAATATCATTTTGGAATTCTCTGCATCCTGAGGAGGTTTCGGAGAGAACCATGAAGTAAGAACCTCCGCTGGAACGGTGGCCAGACTGTTGCTGGACAGATCCAGGTAGGTCAAGTTTTTGATGTAAATGGTTGCTTCAGCTGGGATGCTGCTGATTTTATTATTGTGCAAATCCAGGAGCCGAAGGTTAGGCATGTCCATCAAACATTCCCAAGGAAAGGAAGTGAGAACATTCCCATCCATCCGTAATTCGTCCAAGGCGTAAAGTCCTCGGAAACTGTCTGCGCTGAGAGAGGAGAGCGAGTTGAAGGATATCCAGAGGTACTCCAGGCTGCTGAGGTAATGAACGGATTCGCTGGCGGCGCGGCTGATGGCGGTTTTCTCGATGCGGAGTTTGGAGGTGTCCGAGGGAAAGTTGTTTGGGATGACGGCGAGGTCGGGGTCGTTACACAGGACGCTCCTATAAAAACACATCACACGGGTCAAGCACAGTCTCCTTTTGTTGAGATATTTGTTTATACCAGTCATGTAAGTATACTGCACTTTAAAATTATAGTGATCAACATTGCTATAAAATAGTGCTATGACATATTCCTCTTTGACTAGCTTTAATTTCTGACTTTATTTTTATTGTGTATTATTATCATTATCTTTACACTGTGTGTGTGTTTGTGTGTGTGTAATAAATGCTAGAGGCCTGAAACACCTCAACTAACAAGCAGAGAAGATTAAAAAGCACACACACGTTAATCCAACAACTAAATAAAGAGCAGAGATAATCTGGCCTGTCAATGGTCCATATGAGACTTTTCTACAGTAAAGCTTCAGTTCAGAGTCCATGTGAAATCTTACCTTGACTTCGAGCCGTCGCTCAGTTTGTGTTAGAAGCAGCTGCATTGAGCAGGACAGGTGCTGCAAAGCAACGGAAGGCAGCACAGCACCAGCGCAAAAGCCCAAAAACCCAAAACACACATCTTCTGCGCTATCTGTTCTAGCTACTGTCCGGATGGGTTTGAGTCTGTTAATCACGCAGCACACGCAGCATCTCTGTGTCTCTCTCAAGCACTTTCTGCTCGCTCTGCTCCGAATCCCCAGATAAAAGGGATAGAGCAGATTAGAGCAAGGACTTGGGGTATTTTCATTTACACGATTATTCCTTCCTGGAAGCCCATAGGCTGCGGTTGTCTATTGTATATATAGAGAACAGACATTTCTTTTTCTGATTGGAGGGTTAATTTTAGACCTGGGATTGGACATCAGTTTGTGAATTCACAGCATCTTATTGGTGAATGGCTTTGTTTTATTTTATTTTCACCAGACATGCCGAATAAATCATAGAGTGAGGAGGAAATGTTGTATTTTTTGTGATGTTGCTTTTTGAAGATTGTTTAAATGGAAAATGTTATAATATGCAAAGAAATGGAAAACCAAAATACTGTATAGGATATTTATACATGCAAAAGATCAGTGTTGTTAGTTTGACCTTTGACTCCATACCAATACATCAAACTGCATTTGATTCAGTAATGAGCACACACAGGAATTTTCACATTTAGCATAAAACTATGCATTTTTTGCATAAAAAAATATATTTCCGATTTTCTCAGACATAATACTTTTTTTTTTTGCATCAAATTTACTCACAGATCTGGTTATAGTGGTTACCTAATATTATAATATTTTTTGTCTGTTTGGTCTATAATGCCTATATGATTAAAGCAAATAAGCAGATGGCAATACTTAAAACATCAAAAGCGTAGTGTAGATGTATTTAAAACACCTGGGGGCAGTATAGAGCAAAAGTCTTGTTCTCAAACTAAAATACAGACATTCCTGTTCCTGTGTATATTTGTTCCAAATATATCTTGTATAGTACATACAAAAATATTTCTGTATTATAACATATATATATATATAATATTTGTTCCACTATTCAGTGTGACATTTTGTTCATGGTGGATATCCACACCAATCATCATATTCAGTCTATGAATAGACTCAATGAACTCTCAGGCTTATTCAGAACTGTATATTTTAATTTATTCATTTAATAGACACTTTTATCAAAGCAACTGGGGAAACAACAACACAAGCGATTCATCCTGAGGAGAAAGCACAGATTCTGCTGTGAAATGTGTGTCTTTAGAGAGTGTGAGATTACAGTGAACACATTTCACTCAAGTGTGGAGCAATTATTTCCCAATAGCATTAACATCTGTAACCTGAGAATGGAGGAGTGTGATGGTGTCCTGCTCTTAATGCGCAGTTCAGAGCAGGACTGAGGCGAATGAGCACAGCAGATCAGATTTCACAAACTTTTGCGGTATTAAAACATTCTTGCGGGGATTTGAGAGGCTTTAAATCTTCACACGCGCTTTCACTGGGAAATAAACACACATATAAAGTCTCGCACTGTAGCGCAGCGGTCAGCAGTGAGTAATATCTCTGACAATGGCTTCATACACGTTACCGGAGGGATTCGGTGACTTCGACATGTTCGCTTTCGGCTCCGCGCTGCTGGTGGGCGGTGAGTGCTGCTGATAATCAATCAATCAATCAATCAATCAGTCCATTCATTCATCAGTGCTGGATAGTTCTTCATCGATGAATGTATTGACAAACATAACTGCATAATCTACTGCAGAGTCTATCGATTAATGAGCGCTGCTCTTATTGATCTTCTGCTAGTTGATTGTTGGTTCATAAAACCTGTGCATAAATTTAAACAAATGTCAGATAACTTTTTTGATAAGGAAACTTCTTAATTAAACAAGCTTAGTTTCTGAATTAGTAATAAAAAAAAGAAAGAAAAGAATGAGAAAAGAAAAGAAAAAAGATATAGTCAGTACCATAGTATAATGATGGTAAGTGTTGGCATCTGATCTGATCACCGCGGCGCTTATTGGTGCTTGTTACTGTGGACTTGGTCATTCTTCTAACAGCATGATATATTATTTTGTTATGATTGCTCTTTGTATGCGGTGCACGGTATAATAAATTCTGTTCAGTCTGAATATCTGAATATTTTCTTCTAGGTCTTCTCGGTTTCTTTCTTAACTTTATCTCGGTGATGGCGTTCCTCAGAATCCGGGAGATGCAGACGCCCAATAACTTCTTCATCTTTAACCTGGCTGTGGCTGATCTGAGCCTCAACATTAACGGTTTAGTGGCTGCTTTCGCTAGTTACCTGAGGTGAGACTAACCAGCTAAACTACAGTATGAATCCAGAACCGAATCTTTCCAAACTAAACACTTGCTTCTGAAATTTGGAAAATAGCGACTTCTAAAATTGTGTGAAAAGATATGACAAAAATAAATTAAAATTAATTATATTTGTGATGACTATTATTACTACTATTAGCTTATTGGTGTTATTGCAGAGAAGGAATTTGACTTGAAACAAAAGTTTGCACGAAATACAACCGCTAGACACAGAAGAACACGTAGTTTTAATATGAAAATGAGAAATATCACATGTATGTATAAATATTCAAACACCTGTGTATATTTGTGTTTTTTCTGAACTCTGGAAGATACTGGCCGTTTGGGTCGGAGGGCTGTCAGATGCACGCTTTTCAGGGAATGGTGTCGATCCTCGCCGGCATCAGTTTTCTGGCTGCCATTGCTTGGGACAGATATCATCAGTACTGTACTAGTGAGTATAAACAGAGAGCATCTGAGCAGAGAGAGTTAAAAATGTTGCTTTATTATCCTTCATAGTTGACACACAAGACTTTAATAGTACTCTTGTTTCTGTAAGGCTTGCACTGGGTTTCATTATCATTTTTAATACAGCTTTCCTGCGCTGTCTCAGCTGACCGGCTGTAAATCGATGAGTTAGTTGTGTTTGTTTCCAGAGCAGAAGATGTTCTGGAGCACGTCTGTGACCATCAGCACCATCATCTGGATCCTGGCTGTGTTCTGGGCCGCTCTGCCGCTGCCGGCCATTGGATGGGGCGTCTTTGACTTTGAGCCGATGAAAACATGCTGTACGCTCGACTACACGCAAGGAGACCGGTGCGTCCATCTCACACATGAGAACACAAAGATACAAACGGACTTTGCTCTAGTTTCTTTGTTTTGCAACTCACTCAAATCAAAACACAACAATACTACTTTGAAAACTGCTGCATGTTACTAATCAGAAATCACAATAAGAAAATCATTGACAAACAATAATGTCTGTCTACCCTGCCTGGACATGACTACTGATCATTTTGAATAGCAGTGCTAATGTGAACTGCATGCAAGAGTAATACGTAGTTTTCTTCTCTGCTGTCTTCTTCAGGAGTTACATCACCTACATGCTGTCCATCACTGTACTGTATTTAGCATTCCCTGGTTTCATTTTGCAGTCCTCCTACAATGCCATCTATGCATATTTCAAAAAGACGCACCACTTTAAGGTACTCGCACTCTCCTCAGTCAACATACACTCCAATTAGATACACAACGTATCTTCATTTGTAGGAACTTTATTGTTGCCTAGTGTGATTTCACTTTGCATTTTTCATAAAGTAAACTTTTCTTGTAATAAACTTTTTTTTTTATCATTTTAAATTAATTTGGTATTTATGTGTACAATTTGTCATTTTAAGTAATTGCTGTTCCCTATGATGTTGTCATTTTCAGTTATCAGTTTTTCTGACCAAAGACATATTTTGTGCAGCAATTTCAACTAAACCAAATTTAGTTAATGCTTCATGCTCTGTGGGCTGTAATGAGGCTGTGTTACTCTATTACATTACGGATGGATGAGCCACAGGATACCTGCTGATGCTCAGCATTCTGTATGCAACAAGAGCTTGTAACACTCCAAAGAGAAAGGAACAATTGAAATCGCATCATATGACCCCTTTAAGATCTCGTTCTTGCATTTAAACGTAACGCAAGCGTCAGATTTCTGGTCTAGTGTAGATAAAAGCATGATTAGAGCAGACAGTGAATGGTGTGTGTTTTGTGTCAGCGCTTCTCCTCTCTCTCCTGCAGTTTAACACAGGTTTACCTCTGAAAGCGCTGCTGTTCTGCTGGGGTCCGTATGTTCTGATGTGCACATACGCCTGCTTCGAGAACGTTAACCTCGTTTCACCAAAGCTCAGAATGGTAAGATAACAAACACTGGTGATCTTCAAAATCTTTCATTAGCTTGATAAATCATTGTTCTCGTGTTGATCTCAGTGTTGATGACGGTCGTCTGATCCTCTAGATCCTCCCGGTGCTGGCGAAGACGTCTCCGATCTTCCACGCCGTCCTGTACGCGTTCGGTAACGAGTTCTACCGCGGAGGAGTCTGGCAGTTCCTCACCGGGCAGAAGTCTGGAGACAAAAAGAAATAGTGAAAGAGCTTTAGCCATGTAACGTTGTATTCAGACGAGTCTGCAAGAGTTTACACGTGATGTGACTGTAATTCACTGTATATGTCAAATCAGTGCCTAACACATTTGGAGATATTTGTCCAGAGTTTCATTTAATGATTCATTGAAGACTGATATATGAAGCCTTATTTCAGTTTCCTGGAGTGTGAGAGATGACTTACACATTTCATTCAGGACACAATCATTTCACCATTTCATTGTTCTTGCCTTACAATCGCTGTTGACCAATGCATCAGAATCCAGTATTCATGTGTAAATCTATGAAGTAAGAGGATTTTTCTAACCAAAACTTGAAACCAGTGTATGAACCGTTAATAACAAAAGGGCCTTTCATTGTTAATCCACAGAATAAACCGTGAGGCACAAGACAGTCCTTTCATGAGTTCTTTAGGGGCTCAGAAGGGGACTGATGAAGGTGAATGAACTCCACTAGAATCTCTGATCAAGGATTGGCTTGCAGATGGTCATCTTCACTGGTTTAGCTGGTTTCCTTCACAAACCATCATCTGACTCAGTAAATGCCCTGATTCCTCTGTGTGTGTTAGTTAGGAGTCCGAATGCACATTTATGCAGATGCTTTTATTCAAATCCACGTTCACTTATTACAGGTTCGGTCTGTTGCTCAAGGAACACAGTTCACAGATCTTCTCCGTCTCCAGCTCAGATCTTGAAGCGGAGGCTAATTAACATTCACGTTTAGGATTAGAAATTCTCCAGGGTTTTGTAATCTGCAGTAATTCCTCTGCACAAGGAGCTGCTCTTATATCAGTAGATGTGGGTTTCTGACGTGTGTTGAAGACCAAAGAGGATCAGGAGAGCTTTACTGCAGCCGGTCAAGGGGCGACTCTCAGACCCAGCGACCCGTAGCCGTCGAGAGCATGAGGACCGAACTCTGAAATTACTCTGTTCCTCATAAACACAGCAGAGCAGAGCTGAAGAGGAAAGTCTGTGCGTTCTGTCATTCATCCATCCATGTCAGACTCTGTTCCATGTTGTGTGTGTTTCTTGCTGTCCAGTCCCAGCTCCTCGAATGCGCTTAGCCGTGCCTGCTCCTCCAGAGCGCCCTCCAATGCCAGCACCACGTAAGCGCTACTCTGTTCCCCAGGTAAGCCCTAGAAGGGCTCCTGTTCCCGAGTAGAGCCCACGGAGGGCTCCCGATTCCCCGTTAAGCCCAGGAAGGGCTCCCGATCCCTCGTATAGCCCACGGAGGGCTCCTGTTCCCCCGTTCAGCCCAGGGAGGGCTCCAGATCCCCCG